AAGACGCGTTATCTGTTGATCTGAATGGTCCGCCAGAACAGCCATCGGGTTCGCAAACGCTATTGCTTTTTTCATCTATCTGCACACACTTAGCAAGAGAGAACTCCAGCAGTTTCATTTAAACCCGGCCTATTTTGGACCCCGAAATGGCCTATCCGAATGCAATCAAACGACAACCAAAGTGAGCCAAAACTTTTTGGTTGTCAGAAAGCTCTGCCACAAAATGCGGCTGAACCTGAAAGGTGGGAACAGCGTGGCATATCAATCCACTGACACAAAGGTGATCTGGGTAGAAAGTGTTTAGAGGAAAGTTACAATTTCATTTAAAGAACTAAGGGTGACCGAATAAAAAGAATCAACCAAAATAACAGTGTTCATTCCAAGCTGGTGGGTGTCATATTATCAGGTATACTCATGGTGGTAGTGTCGAAATAAAAGCATGACACCTAGGATTTACGGGTACTCATGATTGCGCAGTCAAACGACTTGTATGTATGCCCAAACAAGCACGATCTAAATGCCATGAACAAAGATATCAAGGAAAAATTATTACGGGCATTCCAACTTTTGAGGAACGATCAACCTGAAGCAAGATCAGTTACAAGTTAAAGATGGCGGTCAATTATAAAATTAGAAGGCAAATATGAGGCATCCCTGCTGGCACGTGATAAGGAAACTGCGATTTGCGAAAAGTGAAGAACGAGAACAACGTACATTGTGATCCAATCGGTTTATATAAAATAAAACTGAAAAACACAGATGATATTCCTTGGCCTTGGACAGCTGGGTTTGCGGCCAGGGTCACGAAAATCGTAATTAAGGATGTATTGGGAAAGCCTAAGGCAGGGGTAGATATAAGCTGAAATATCACGGTCGCAGCGTACCGTGAAACGGTATGAACTCACTGGTGTCTCCACTGGGACGCAGTCGGGGGCAAAATGTTCCCTGGGGGAGTGAGTTGACGCTGATTCACGAGGCAGAACGTGAACTGTGAGGGAAAAATCGGCCTTGTAGGGAGCACAAAATAAAAGTCCAGCGGAAATTAAGGCAGATTAGGGTGGGCTCATTGCATCACTCTGCTGAGGTCAGGTGAAGAATTTGTTCGTAGTTGCGGATAAAACAAACGTGTGGACAAGAGGACATAAACATTAATAGAGACGGAATAGGTGCAAGAATTCACAAACCCTCCATCAGACTCCACCGGGGTTGTAGGCGCAGTACTTCAAATATTTGCAAGCGTCTTGAATCCCACGGTCAAGTCTCACTTTCCGGTGAAACACTACATGGATGAAAAAGGTACGTACACGTCTGCAACCCCTTTTGCTCCGGAACACACATTCATTTTTTTCGATACCTCATAATCAACATCCTGGGACAGTCTGAAATTGTTCCAGCACATCCAATCTGATCAGCTAAGAAGGAACTTCCCCCCAAATTTCTCTCACTCTGAGCAGAGTATCCAGGCCGAAGGATCCGATTCTACTCCCACTGTCTGTGACCATGACCTCGCTTTCCCCATCAAACCTTTCATTTTTGCTTTACAACACTCCCTTTTATAAAACACTCTAGTTTTAGTCGATCCCAAAGCTTAAATCACAGAAAACCCGCTGAGGCTCACTAATAAAATCGGTGGGGCCCTTGTCATTCCTTTTTCTTTTGCAGGTGTGCGATCTGAATCAGGAGCCTAAAAAACTGAGTCCAGGAGCGTTTTTCTTCACGTGCGAAACCACTGAGCCTGATAGTACTCAAACTGTCGTGGATGGCAGTCAGTCTCTGAAGATAACGGTCCTCCGTGCCTGACTACGGACTTAGGTACAGGATCAAAGTACTTTGTCAAGTCTCCCCTGTTGGGTTGTTTATTGTCATCCCGCGATTTCATTTCAACTTGAAGGCACGAGCAAAAACGATGGCTGGGTAGCCCTTTAAGTCATCACCATTGGACAATAAGCTTGACAGCGAAAACTCACTTGGGAAGGCATCATAAAGCAACTTGGGCCGTATCCAAGATACAGCGATAACAAACACCGAGGCAAGTTATCGTACGTAGCAACTTTTCTAAACGATAAAAACACTGTATATCACAATGGTGTCCCTTAATATTGAAAGGCTTCATGCCATGTCTTAGCAGCGCGTTAGTAGTTTTGAAGGAAAACTTATTTGCCTTGGTTGAGCAAGACGAATGAAGCGTCCTGGTAACCAAATGAGGGGGTGATGTTTTCTAGACGTGTCCCAATATCACTGGATCTAAAGACATTGACCGCACTTGTGGCGACTTTTCGGACTAACAGTGCGGTGTATGTTCGTTTGAAGCCCAGGCAGGCAACTTGTTTGGCGTATTCTAGAAGGGATTTTATGCGGGCGTCCAAACTTTCTGGAAGTCCTCGCTGATAATGTAGGTGGGGACATCCAATTATCTGAAAAACAAGGCTGTTGGACCAATTTCTGTGATGAAGTTAGAGGGATATATTTGAGGTGCCGAATACCTAAGTCCTTTTTGAAATCAAGCCTTACGATGCCTTCCGCTTCACTTTCATCATCCAGGACAAGGATATTTGATAAATCCTCTTTGAATGACATGTACAAATTTTGTTGTCCATGGAATGTGCATGTTCAGTAGACGCTGCTTGCGGCATCGACATCCAGTTGAACTGAACCGACGGGAAATTGAAGATTGCGGATCGTTCATAAAGAGCAAACATAGAGTTAACAGCATAGAACTTAGGAGCTGCACGTCGGCGGCCTGGAACAAAAAGATGAAAAGCTACAGGATGGAACCTTGAGCGTAGCCTGTATTGACCATCGCAGGATGTAAGCAGGCCGATTCAGCTTTCACAAACATCATTTTATCTATGAAGATGCCTGTGTTCGATGTAGAGCTTTCCAGTTAATCCAATGTGTTTGTGGTTTCTTAAGAAGTAAGAGATGCGAAAGGCATCCGAGTGCTCCTGAGAAATCGAAATAAGAACCAAGGCGCCGGCCTCTCGTTTTTATTTGTGTTAGGTTGACCATGAACATGGGAATATTCGTCGCACTGGAGCGGTCCGGGGGAATTCATATTTTACGAGGGGGTGTAACGCTACTGAGGCGATTAAACTAGCTGTCTACGAAGTGTATCTCGTCATTTTACATCGTAACGCATTGATGCTAATAAGTTTTCAGCCGACGAGCGTTGGGCAGTCACCCGATTTAAAGATTTGCTTGACCTTTGTTCCTTTCGGGTCGGAAGGTCCTCTGCCTCCGACAGGTAACTGATAATAAGATGGGTGAAAATGCTAAACCAGGTGGACCAACGTTTATTTAAGGCCCCTTGAACGTGCTTCATTTGGCTTCAATGCCTCGTGTGGGTCTCTTGTGCTTCCTGTTTCAGAGTTCCCCTTTGAATCCTCTCCAGCTATCTTTAATTAGGGACGTTCTGAACGTTGTTTGCAAAAGACATTGAATCCCTGTTTGTAAATTTCGGTTTGTTAGGCTGCGCCCCGGCCATCGTATGAAGAAGAGTGTACCATCCCGTCGAACTAAGCGAAGCAGAAGCTTGGACTATTTATTTCAGATTGCGGTTCCTGGCCCAGTAGTAGATAAATCTACAGATCAGTGCACAGTTCTTGCGATGTACTAGAGGAGCTTAAATTACCACCTGGTTAACTGAGCGTCCAACATCGGTAGCAACCAGATTAAGAAGGAATGATAGCCGGCCAGCTCTTCATTTGGTGGATGAGTCAATACGCTGAGTTCGGACCCCTCGCTCCTCAAAAAGATTTGCCGCAGATACTAATGTCCACAAGAGCCGATGTGCGGAAACCCCATGCACAGGGCTGGGAGCGGTAAAGGTCATCTCCTAGCAAAAGAAGTAAAAGGTGTAAGCTGATGAAAATCGCAACACACCAGTATGCGGCTCTGTTAGGAACGGCACCAAATACCGATTTTTCCGATTTCGCTAGCGTGATTCTTGGATTAACAGCCGCAGATAATCACCCCGTATTCTTCTGCAGGTTCACCAGCGAGACTGCAGCTTTCTTGATTGTAGGGCCCGAGAGCCCGATTGCTTGGTGTCACCCAACGAGCTTTGGATGGGATACTCCAAATATGTCTTCGTAATGGAAACTTTGCCGTCAGTTTCCGCCTGAGCCATCACGTGCTACTTGTTTACATCCATAAAAGCCGCACAAAGGGACGTCGGCTTGACTCAGATTGGTCCGATTAGAAGGAAAATCTGCATTGCGCTTCCGATTGAGAGAGTGGGTCCGGTCTCACTGTTGCTACGGGTAGAGTGGTGTTGACGCCGTGAGGAGGGCTAGACGGTCTTTATGTTTCGCAACCCTTCAGCCTCATACACCCACACTGTCCCAAGAACAAGAGAGTATGGCACAATATTTCACATTTAAGTCCAACAAACCCATTTTTCATCCACATTTGGTGATGATTTCGGTGAGTAGAATCTCGACAAAGAAGGGCTTCCGGCTGTCAAAATTTTTCACTTGCAGCCCATACGTGTGTGCGAAAATTCAAACCAACCGACAGCGATTTCGTTGGCCGGTGGAAGAATACTGAATTAAATTTCCACGATAGGACAACGAAACGAGAGTCAAAGAACGCTAGAGTGCTCAACGGCAAAATATACGAATATATGAAAGGGCTTGGCGTCAAAATCACCTCGATGATCCGTAACTCCCTGTCATCTGGTGGCAAGTTTCAAAAAGCCTCTACTTTCAAGTGTGAACTGAATAAAAAATGCTGAACTGACCTTGAAACCTCATTATGGCCTTGGGGCCCGGCACGCTCTTCGAGTCCTCTGATTTGTAATTGAGATGACAGCGGTGGAGAAACCCGTGTGGGATGATGTGGAGGTAAAATCATATTTGCGACGGACGGTTGTCGTTTCTAGGAAGAGGTAATTGAAGAAGTGATGCGAATGTCAAATGACGAGTTAGTTAATCGAGGTCGCTTGCTGGATGCGGAAATTCGAGTAATATCTTTTCTTCCCTGACTTACTCCATTAGTTCATGAAATCGGAGCTGCATCACGTGGATCATGAAATCAAAATGAAACAGGCGAAGGTAAAGGAGAGCAAAAGTAAAATAAAGATGAACAAAGCCCTTCCTTATTTGGTTGCAAATGTTGTAGAGGTGAGTGCGTGGTTTCACTTGTGCTTCATATCTCAGTTGTTGGATGTTTCCCCTCAAGACCAAGAACGAGAAGATGGCGCCAACGTTGACTTGGATTCACTGCGGAAAGGAAAGTGTGCTGTAATCAAGACGAGCACCAGGCAGACCTATTTTCTCCCTGTGATCGGGCTGGTTCCGGCTGAAGAGCTGAAACCCGGGGACCTTGTTGGAGTCAACAAAGATTCCTATCTCATTCTCGAAAAACTCCCTCCCGAATTCGACTCACGCGTAAAGGCAATGGAAGTTGATGAACGTCCAACAGAAAGGTACAGTGATATTGGGGGTCTCGACAAGCAGATTCAGGTGAGCTATTCGCTTGGCTTTGCTAACGTAGCCTTTAGGAACTAATTGAGGCTGTTGTCTTGCCGATGACTCATAAGGACCGCTTTGAAGCCATCGGCATCCAACCACCAAAGGGCGTACTGCTTTACGGACCGCCCGGAACAGGGAAGACTTTATTGGCCCGCGCCTGCGCAGCCCAGACAAAGTCAACCTTCTTGAAGCTTGCTGGACCGCAGTTAGTCCAGATGTTTATCGGTGATGGTGCTAAGCTTGTTCGTGATGCTTTTCAGTTGGCGAAAGAGAAGGAACCTTCGATACTATTCATTGATGAATTGGACGCGATAGGTATGCCTTTAAGAAATATGGACGGATGTCTTTTCACGATCCGCTGTTTTTACGCCATCCATAAGGTTTCATGGATACCTCAAGCTTGATGTTTGACCCTAGTCTGAAGGCCAGCGGGCTTGAGTTTGACGTCGCGTTCTAGACGTAAGTACCACGAACACTAGGTTACCTTTCACGGCGTCATATTAGGTCGGATGCAGGCGATTATCAAACAAGGTTTTTAATGTTCCTTACAATGCTTAATGGGGATTTCTCCAGCTTCATCGTTGCTGCTGCTGCAGTCTGCGGGAGAGTTCTCGTTGATGGACTTTTGCTCCATCGGTCTGACGCCCTAATAATCAGAATCGTTACTTTGCCACCCCCTGATGCTACAGCGTATGTAGACGACGGTGGCAATTGCGCTAACGCTGCTAGTTTCTAGCAAGATTGTCTGACTGGTTGAACCTGTAGATGCTGGGAGTGGCATGCCTTCCTTCCTCACTAGATCATCCACACGGGCTTGCTTCAAATAAGTTGCAGTGGCTGCTCAGCCATGGCTGTGACCAGCACTGTCGTGGTACAGAAGCATCAGGATCCCTATCCATGTTGCTCCATTTGAAACTACGTTGGAATACGAGGAGCATGAGCCTAAACGTGTCCATAGAATGGTAACAAAAATTGGTCGAGTGGACAACGGGAATCACGAATGACGGCGGAAAACGTCCCGGGCAGAAGTTCAGCGAATAGTTTGTTGGGAGATTTCCTGGTAAATTGGGCTAGTAGATCGTATGGTTGTGAACAGGCTAATATGCATAGAGACGCTGTTCAAGTCTTGATCAGTTCACTGGATAGACGGACGCCGCTTTTCAGCTGACATGATGGATGTTCTCTTTTAAAAATGCTCTCCATGTTTCGGAGAGTTTGATCATCATTCAGTGTGGGAACCGTCTTGGATAATGGCCTGAAGAAAATTTGGCTATCATAGGGTTTTCCGTGTGGTACGTTATTCATACAACGAGCAACTTTGGCTACTATTTCGTGGCTTTTCCGACAACCTCTGATCAATACAGCCTAAATGACCATGCATGCGCTACTCACTCCAATTAACAGAAGCCTGCGAATAGTTCGACATGCCAGCGACTTCTCAAAGGGACGAAAAATACTACTGAAGAAGGTGCGCTTCTGGTGTGCGAAATGGCTCAGTAGTTAGAGCGCGAATTTACTGACCGGAAGGTCCGTGGTTCGAACCCGACCTATGCATGTCGAATTCCCCTGTTTGGGCTTGGACAACCTAGCGGTATTCTAGCCCTTGTGCCTCCGGGAAGCATGGCAGCTAGGCGCTAAAAAAGGGTTACGGCTGAACGATTTTTTTCGATTTTCTGGTGTGCCGCATTAGCAATGTTGTGACTACTTCGATAGTTGTATTGGGTGTGACGGAAGTGTCCCTGGTAAAGACTGCACTAATCGCAGGGCGGAATCAGGTTCCCTATTTTGCATCATTTGTGGCGCAAAAATGCATGTCATTGGGCTCTGAGAGTCGCGTGTACCAGGATGCGGAAAGCGTTGTACTGTAAGATGTGGTGTATTCGGACAGATTGTTGGCTGTCTTCAGGTTTTTAATCATTGATGTCTCAGACGTCTTGTCGTCAACGAATTCGTAGCGTGGTAATCAGAAACGGCTATTTGGTTGTGCAGAAGGGATTTCAGTTGTGGAAAACGTCCAACACAGTCAGATGCGGTAGCTCGGCCACGTGCTACACATGCCGAAACATTGTCTATCGAGACGAGTTTTTCTCCGTACCTTATTCAAAATGCCGGATGGCATGGCAGTTAGGCAGAGCAATCTCGCCCCCTGCGTTGTGAATGTTAAGTGAGCTCAAGATGACTCCGGGGCTAGCGCGTGAGCTTACTATTCGGAAGGTCCATTTTTCGAACCCAATCCGGATGTCTCGATTGCTCATCTATTCCAGCAACCTGGTAGTATCTCAGTTTTCGTGCTTCCCTCAAGTGGCTTGATAGCGAGTCACACAAGGGGTGTTACAGCTGAACGACTGTTTATTATTTATAAACTCTAAGTTGTAAGCAGCTTTCATAAGAACTCAAGCTAGTCTATCTTGTAGTACGGCTCTTACTGACCTGACGACAACACACAGGAGCATTGTGCTGGCTCGCTAGTGTACCTCAGTTGTGATATGTATTGACTATCATGAGCCGGCTGTTAAAAGTGGAACTTGCCATCACCCACCGTCACGAAGAGACTGGACCTTAACTTGCCATCACCGTCACGAAGAGACTGGACCTTACCGTGGTGTGACGGTTTGCGCACCTCAGCGATCCATTGAGCTATATTGGAGAGTGTGTGTCC